CGCTTGACGATACAATGATAATACGTTAATTAATAATGTGACGATATGATAATTTCACAGCTTGATGGTTGTAAATTACTTGCAGGTCGGGTTTTAGCCTAAATTAATCGATTTATGAGAAATATTATTTGACAGAGATTATAATCAGATATGCCACCAAATCGCATATTTGGGGTTCAGTAAAAGGGGCCGCTCCGACATGGGAGCCCGGGCCGGTTCCCGGTCCCAATCCGCCCTTGCACAACAAGCTATAGGTCGTTAACGTATCAAGTATTTTAATATATACAACTGGCGGTAGTTTTTACTCTGATGTCCATAGCAGTTATATCTCATAACAACCTGTCATGACATCATCATAGGTTGATATATTCGTTCATATCAACCGCTTATGACGTCATGACAGGTTGATATTTTCATATCAACCGCTAATGACGTCATCTCAGGTCAATATATTCGGCTCATATCAACCGCTAATGACGTAGTTGATCGAAATAATACAAAAAAACACAGAAATAATTTTTATTCTTTTGACAATTAAAATTTGTTATGGTACAGTTTCTAACATTCAGGACCGAAATAGACGGCGTACTTATCGACATACATGTATTTAGATCGGTTATCCATGTCTAACACATCTTTCAGAATTTTCTTTTCGTCCACATTGCGATTATTTCTCCACACACTACAAGACTTGAAAGTGTTTATCGCCCAAGAGTTCCTTTGTAAATTATTTTTGGGTACAGTCCACTTAAAACAGTCGGTCAAATCCTTCTCTGAACATACCGAAAACCTTCAATCATGGTTCATTGTCAGAATTCTTGGAAAAGAATGCCTTTTGATCCAAATTTTCTGCAGGCTTTGGATAGATTCTCGTCGATATTTGCATTCACATCTATTCCATCGTCAATATGTTGGCTAAAAAGGATTGATTATTCGTCTGACTTCGTATTATTACTATCCATTTTGTTTTTGCTTTCAATTCAATAGTCCAAAATGGCGACGTATAAACAAAAACATGCACGTAATTGCACGTGATTACTTCGGTAATTTTCGCTATTTGGCGGAAACTATCGAGCAATTATCCAATCGTTGTTGCCTTTTAATGGAAGAGCCCATTAAATTTAAGGGTGAAATGGCGTTGTATATGTCGGATATAAACCTATATCCTCTATAATCATCTGGGTATCAAAAACAATACCCTTCATAAAAAATGTCAGGGGTGACGCCTGTGGGACTGACAAGGTCTCTTTCTCTGAATTAACCAGTTTTATTCACTAAATACACCTGGGACTTCTCCTTTCAGCAGATTATATGAAACTACATTTCTTGAAAAACAATCCACTTACTGCGATAAAAGTCTGGGTCGAAGCGAACGGAAGACCCCTCCTTGTTAGCGGAACAAGCTAATATTGCCATGAACATATATTTTTCAACAATATGGACAAATGGGTTTATTTCTATTTACCACAATCTTCATAAATGTCCTTTCCATTATTGTTCAAATAAAATATTTATATAGGAAGAATACGAAGTCCTGGAACAAAAAGAGTCGATATCCTAAGTGTCTGACCGATGGTGTAGATACCGGTTTTATGGACAATGGGCTTGTTTGATATCGGCAACACTTCGCTAAAATTTCAAAACAGCGTGGCAAGAAGTTTAATCAACTTGGAAATAACGTTCTGCTCATTTACAGATCCATATCGTTTTGAAATGCCAACTTATCGTATTTGTGTGTAGTCTCGATTATTGCCGATGTGTTTTATCTTCTTACGTGAACCTATAATGGCTTTCTGCCCCCCCCCCCCACTGCACATTATCAATTTTTCATATATATGAATAATGTTGCTGATGCATGAAGGACATCCTTTATTTCTTCATCAAAGACTCAACCCTATTGTGCAAATAATTTCAAATGTGGTCATTTTCTTTAAGTCCAATTAAAGTGATTAAAGTATGTAGGTCTAGTGAGCAATTATTGGATATCGGTGTAATCTAATACTCTATAACCATTTCCCTTCAAAACTTCCCGGTAACCTTATAACGTTAGGTTTATTATGTGAATGACATTATATTTTACATAGGTTTGAGTATCCAGCGGGCTCGCTTTTAGCACTGTTTTATTGCTTCGACTAAAATTGTTGGCTATTACAGAGAAGTATAATAATAAGGTGAATCACCCAAAGTTTACAAGATTGACACCTCGGCCTATATCAAGTACATCTTGACAAGATTATGTAAGACAGGTTATAGGTTAGGCTGCAATCTTTTAATATGGTCAATGGGGGCAGTTTTCAACATATCAGTTACGCTTCTTCACTTATTTGACCCACAGTCATCATTAGCCCGATTGGTGCAGAAAAGTGGGACGTTTATTGCATTTTATTTTACTTTCGCCCGTATGTTTATGAATTACGTTAAAACTAATGTTTGTATACTTATTTTTGCTGGTCCTATTTATTGATATGTGAATGCGGATGCAGGGGAGTCACAACGATAAGGATTGTTTTTAGTCCGTTTTCGAAACTTTGCAGTTTATTATTCACAATAATTCAAAGCTTAATTAACTGTCTTCTAACATCGTATCCATATCTTTATAGTACATGCAATGTTGAAAGCTATGGCCAAACAATACTACCTATCGGTATTGATACGTTGTAGATCTTGTTCGAAACTTTAAATAGATGGTATACTCAGTAAAGTCGGAGAATCAAAACTAGAGTCTGAATTTAAGTGAAAATTCCCAAACAAAAACCAAACCCAGAGCCGTTGAAGATTCTGAAGAAAAATAAATGACAAAAACGAGACCATGTCTTCCTGATAGGCGTCGGTTAGACTCCTGACTTCAGAAAATCGGATGACATTATATATGGCGGTATATTAGATTCAAAATTCTAACATGCTATCGTCTAATTTCTTATTTCCATTCATGTAATTTCTAACTTCCATTCATGTAATTTCTAAATTAAGACAATGTATAATCCAACTTCTTTATTTGTTCAATGTAAATTTTAATTCTGTTTCATCTTATTTCTATTATTAAGACGAAAAATGTCTACTTTATTGTCGCTTTACACCCGACCTCCAGGCTAGCGAGCCAGCGTCTTACCCACTTAGCCACGTGATCCCCATACATCGAGAGAGAGAGAGAAATGGTGTTTAACGTCCACGCGACACAAGCTAAGTCATTTCGGGACTAACATTTTATTTCAATAATTCGCTTGCAGGGATCGAACACCCGACCTCCAGGCTAGCGAGCCAGCGTCTTACCCACTTAGCCACGTGATCCCCATACATCGAGAGAGAGAGAGAGAGAGAGAAATGGTGTTTAACGTCCACGCGACACAAGCTAAGTCATTTCGGGACTAACATTTTATTTCAATAATTCGCTTGCGCGTAGGGTCTTTAGCAGTGGGAGGAACCTGGAGGCCTCAGAGAAAACCCATAAGGTTGGACAGGCGAACATACTCCTTGGCACGTACAACCGGGAAATCGAAACCACACCAGTTGACTCGATAACAGACCTTATGATACAGCGCGCACGTGCTAACCATTCGGCCATCCAACCCCCCAAACAACATCGAACGTGATATGGTTTACCAATACTATTTCAAATATAAGCTAAACAGCATTTGCTAATTTTTATTTAAAGCAAGTGCACTCAGCAAATTTCAGCACTCTGTCCAACCTTCAACCCGACGAAGGACGAGTCGTTTATATCAACATAATGGTCCCGACCAGGTGCGCAATCACCAAATGAGCACGCAGTGGCGACACCAAACGACTTCATAATGATGGTTGCTAGGTAGAATGTAAAAATTCTAAATTCGTTGATGTTGATGCTAAACGTGTAAAGCATCAATGTAGAAGACGTTTTTCGTCTAAATAATAGAAATAAGATGAAATAGAACTGAAATTTACACTGAACAAATAAAGAAGTTGGATTATACATTGTCTTAATTTAAAAGTTACATGAATAGAAGTTAGAAATTACATGAATAGAAGTTAAAAAATACATGAACAGAAGTTAGACGAAAGCATTTTAGAATTTTGAATCTAATATACCGCCATAATTATACTGTAACCTTTCCATAACGTTAGCAGCTAAAATAACGCCAAGGGAGATAATCACATTTAAGACAACCTAATTGGAGGCAGACCACCATTAATTTCCCCATTGACTTCAATATTATATTCTTTGAATGGCATTTAGTAATTGGAACATAATCAAAAACACACTTTTATGGATAACAATTACTATGGTTTATTTCACTGCGAAATAAATATTATAACCGAGATTAACAAATATTATATACTGGTTTCAGTTATGGTACAATGTGTATGGTTTCAATATTTGTTAATCTCGGTTAATCCCCTCTTTCATCTTTTAATTGTACAATAAGCCAACTCTAATATATATGATTATGCACCTTTGTTACATCAATAGCTTGTTATAGCTAATCATGCTCACTCACCTTGCATTCCATTGGATAGTTCGCACTGATGTTTGTATATATATTCATATTTTTCTCATTTTTTATCTATTTGTGTATATGCTTGATAACGACTTGTGAAACCTTGTTGAAACGTCGCAGTGAAATAAACCATAGTAATTGTTATCCATAAAAGTGTGTTTTTGACTTTAATATTAATTCTGGCCTCTTTACCTGGCTTCAACTTTTCCCAAAATTTTCGTTGGGCTGAATGCTTTTCACTACAAACAGAGAAACAAATAACTATTCGCCGTACATATCACCATAACCAACCTGATAACTCTGTTATCCTTCCGCCTCTAAATCAGGAATATTTACAAAAACCTGGCAGAAAATGTTAATTCAACCCCTCTTCGTCCATTCTAGACCAAAAAATCAACAATAATGGACATGCAAAAGAAGGGGAAAAGAGACAGAGAGAGAATTGTTATAAATTAGACGAACTAGGTATCGAGATGGTGAAATTTAATCATTAATGGCGGTCTGCCTCCAATTCAAATACATGTATAGAGTGTGTGTGTAAAAGGATTTTATTTACAATATTGTTACATAAAGTTATCGTAATTGCACTAGATTAAACAAGCATACAATATTCACTAACTAAACAAGTTAATCTTTTACATTATGTTAATTAAACTGAATTAATAAATAAAACAGCCTATACAATGCCCTGTCTTCTCAATAAGCTTTAATCTATATTCTCTAGTAATATTTCTTCTATATGGTCCCTCACATATAACAAGTTAGTAAATTTATACAAGATACAAATGAATGGTATGTGGTCAACAATGGAAATATGCCTTAATTTGTGTAATCATACATTTATCAATTAGTAGCCCAAAGTAGATGAAACTTTTACATGTTATTTGTCTCACACTTTGAGATTACAGTAGTTAGTGTCATAAAAACATATTTTAGATATGCCAAGCTGACTAATTAAAACAATCAAATCACTTGATACATAATGTATCTGGATGATTAATGACCCAACTTTATTTGATTTTAACTTAATTCTGATATATCTTAAAACTTGGCAAAACTTTATTTACATCTTTGAACCACGCTGGTTAATAGTGTGAAGGGATGAAACGTATCAATACCATGATATTGTGCAGACATCTTAAGTGTGAATAAAGTGTTACAAAAATCAATTTTAACTGATCACCAGTGGCGTAGCTAGATTTTATGCCACACAGAGCACTCTTCGAGTTTAGTATTGGCGTCTTCCCCCTCCATAAACCCAACATAATAGCCTGTACATCAAACATCGTATGCAGTGTTTTCATGTCTTGTAATCCTTCTACTGTTCTGACAAAACAACACTAGTTCTCTAACTATGCTACTGCTGATCACTTCCACACTTCAGGCAAGATTTTGGCTCATTTTAAATCTAACAACTTTTAATCAAATATCAAATAAAAGGAATGATGTTTTACTAGGTTATTTTCAGATCAACATGGCTACTCCCATATTTGTTCATCATAGCTTCCAGTGATAATTTTATTTTACAGATCAAGATATACAGATATTCAAACAAGTGGATAAAATAAATAAAACAATATCTGTACATGTGCCAATAAATACAGTATGGTAGATCTCTACTACAAAAATATCTTAAACTAGATCATCTTGTCAAAATTATACAAAACTAAATCAAAAAGGAAACATATGTAAAGGTTAAACAGATTGAAATATGTTACAATGATTTTTCTTCTGATCTAGATTATGTAGAAACATTCTTTTGAATTTGATACCCTGGCAATCATGCACTGACAACAGAGACCATCAGTCAACTCAAATCTAGCTAATGTAGGTCAACAAAAATCTATGTAGTGTAGGTCAACCCAAATCTAGCTAGTGTAGGGCAACCCAAATCTAGGTAGAGTAGGCCAACCCAAATCTAAGAAGTGTAGACCAACCCAAATCTAGGTAGTGTAGGCCGACCCAAATTTAGGTAGTGTAGGCCAACCCAAATCTAGGTAATGTAGGCCAACCCATATAAAGATTGTAATGAAATAAATATCAAATTTTAATTAGACTGATTGGCATACTGTAGAACTTATATGAAGATGATTTGACATTAATAAATCGATATACTATTTTTCTCAAGTTTAAGCTAAATACAGGTGAGCAATTAGAGAACTATTATAAATATAATAAAATAGCAATAAATATTGAAAAAACTGAGCTATTTGTTTTATTTCTACTGGAAAGTATATAAAAACACGAGATAACAAATATAATATGTAAAAATAAAATAAATTCTCTTCATCATTTAAATAATGAAAATTCATCCTCATGCTGGAACGTCAAATATAATATACATGTTCATGTATCAAAAATACCTTTAAATAAACAAATGATACAAAATTTTCCAAAACAATCAATCTGATTAAAATACAGATCTAAATTCCATTTCGATTTTTTATACCTTCCCATGGTCTCAACTCCATAGAGACCTGAATGGTTGGTCAATTAAACTGACAGACTATTTATATTAAAATAATTCTGTACAGACCATTCCATTCGCTTATCCTCCACATCAGATAGAATTAGTTTATTTTTTTAAAATTCCCAATCCCACTGTCAGTGAAGACATAAATGGAATTTGAACTATAACAAAATGTAACTATATTAGACCTGCGGTTTAATCAGATTGAATATCAATATCTTAATAGATAAAATGTGCATATCGTTTACAAAACAATAAACTTGTTTTTTTACATAAAATTTACTTATATTCAGTCATGTAAATACGATGACTGAATCCATCAGTAAGACAGAGTTGGGTATTTTACTGAAAGATTATCATAAAATTTTAATTTATTTTGGATGTATGCAGAACCAATTATTTTTAATGTATTATGCAATGAACCATGTACTTGTTGTGTCGAGTTCTATAATTTACTATAAATAACTTGTAAACAGAATTGCACTCACTTTCACAACCAAACTAAAATATTGCCCTACTTTCGTTCATAGCAATGTAATTCACACTCCATCTTCTGATGGAATAGTAAATGGCGCTCAATGGGAATACTTCCCAAGAAATATAGATTTGGAACTAGTGGCCTAGTTTGACTCAGTACCTTGACTCAGAATTGATTTATCATGTTGCTTCACTTTTATTTATGAAATACAGCGCTAGATTAGGGTACCAAGCCAACCCTTGGGTACTAGTATAATAAATACATCCTACTAAATCAATAATGTGGAAATTATCTGATGATAGATGTAAACTTGAAATAAACCCTGTATTCAACTACAATTTACTTGCATGTATAAGCAATAATATAATTTATTGTCTCTATTCTAATAAAATGGCCTACTATTTTACATATTCCTTTAATCTAATTAGTCAATTCAAATTTTATAACTGATACATGTAGAAGTTCTATTTGAAGAACTGTTTTCCAAAAAGGGGTAAAAATAGGCAGTTGTCTTTAAAATTACCAAAAACAGTATATATATCAATGATTTCCAAACAATATTGATTTCCTTTTACAAATCAATAATATTTAAAAGAAAAGATGTCTGGACAGAAAAAGAGCTCTTCATTAAATATCTCATATGAGGAAATCTATAATAAGTATAGTAACAATACACTTCATGTACATAGAACCAGAATATTTAAATTTCTCTTTAAATCAACAAGTTCTCTTTGTTACATATACATGTTATATAAGCCCAGTAATTCGATGAAATCCTAGCTTTGTGTTTCAGAAATCAAAGAGAATTTGGTCTTTTGTGGTTGTTATATTAATCAATATTAATAGTAAATAAATAGCAACGATATACAAATATCAACAAATTATTCAATATGACCCTTAACCTTATTGCAACTGGAATCCTTAATTAATAAATATATGTTAGTAGGTTAGAGGAGTGATAAATATAAAAATATACATATGTACTGTCGTGTACATTTAATTGGTCTGTTTCCTTATCAATATATATATCATTATATATGTAGTTGAGACAAAATAAATTAACACAACGCTAAAAATTCAATCTGATTAAAATATAGATCTAAATTTCTGGTTGTTTTTTACATTATCGACGGCTTCCAGTCCAAATAGCCTTCAAGATCCTTCTGTGTTTCAATCAGATTATAGAAAATTGAAGCTAAAAGCTAAAATAATCTTTCCATAGATAAAGGATTTGAAACAAAACTCTAATCAGAAAAACATATAAAGTCAGATCTCTCTGTAATTCAAAGCACTCACAAAGCTTCAGTTTTCAAAATTCGGATGATTCAGATATTAGGTTTAAGTAGATTATGTAAGTTTTTCAGCAAACAGTTTATATACATATGTGATTAGTTTAATCTTTGTATACTGTACATCAACTACTTTTAAATCTCAAACATATCTCTATCTACATTTAGCTGAGTATTTAATTCAGTAAGACACTGGGTTAGACAGGAGTCGATGCCACTATCTATTGACAATTTACTTCAAGGCCAAGACTCCAGAAGTTTATGTATAATACAAAACAATTTAAACAACTCTTTATGGTCTTCAATATGCCCATAAGAAATTACAACATTTTTCTAAGAACTTGACTCAGTTGCTACTAGGGTTTTCTGTTTCACGGAAGTAATCTCAATGTACATGATTTGTGTTTATATTCTAGTAATATCATTGTCTATATTCTGTACTTTCCTTATATAGTTGACTCAGCCATTACATTCTTACTTTTCATATGTTGATGACTCGGAATAAGTTATACTGCAATTTATACAGTTGCTGTTATTTTTTTCTAACACAGCTCCATATTGGCTTGCTATTTTTAGTGTCACAGGTAGTAATTTCTGATGTAAAAACATTGACAACAGACATCTCTTAACTTATAATAGGGGTGTCCTGTCATTCTTTATACCTTTATGAATAGGTTATCCTATTCTACACATCTACAATAATACTATTTGAGGTCTAGATCACACCTGTGACTTAAGTTTGTGTGAAAATTTGAGTATGTAGATTATGATCACTGAAATAACCTAGAAATTAAAAAAACTAACTATTCTTGTGTTGATGTGTAGATAAATTTGTGCTGATTATAGATAATTATATATATGTTTTTTACTATTGTTGTTTACAGCTCCCGCCCTTACTTGGCTTGCCTGTATTCGAAGCCTTCCTTCTGTTGTCTAATGTTGACCTTCTCTGGCCTTGAACCGGTTGAAATGGATTCATGACTGGTCCACCATCAGATGGTGATTCCAGGTCTGAGCGTAGTGAACTTAAAGTACTGGATTCTGTAAGATAAAATAGCAAGAAGACTCAGTCATCAACATGGAGATGTTTTGGAAGGTACAGGGATTATCAATCTCTGTATTATTTGTAATCAATAACCAAATACTGGTAGTGTAGATATTATAATATGTCCAGCAACTACTACCTTATAAACTACCAACACTGGCTTTTTCTTTTAGTACTTCAATATCAAATTATCAAAAGACTTAAAGATTAATATATGCACGGTTCGGATGAACAAAGCAACTTTGAAACAGGTTATGACTGAAAGATGGACAAAACCCATTTTAATATTCTTCCCTAACTTTGTTTGGTTTAAGAATAATCATTGGTGACAACTATTTATCAACAACTTTGAGACTAAAAGACAATAAATGTTGTTCTGTAATATGCTGCTCTTAAAAAGGGTGGAGAATTTGCCATGGCAGAAGTCTGTATCTTGAACACAATATTATCTGTGTTAATATATTTTAATTGCAAGTCTCACAATGATACGTTTCATTATTTTGAAATTTTACACTATGATGACAGATAATTAAAAGAGGTACAGATTCCATTGGCATTGAAAGAAAACATGAAAAAGACTATATAATTAAATTGATAAATCTCCAAAATTCAAACCATGCTTTCATATTAGGTAAAGCCTACACAACTGCTAATAAATAGGCATGGTAGCTTGTCATGGAGTATGTTTAAGTGAACTTTAAGAATATTATTTCAGTAATATAATACCTTGATAATTTGTAGCAGTGGGGTTCCATTGACCTTTAGGACGCCTTAAACTACCTCTTAAACCAGCAGGATCCCATTCTACTTCAGTATCTGTAGAACACAAGTCAAATCATACAATTATTAATATAAAAATCAACAGGAAGATGAACATAGACAAACAAATTTTTTTGATATTGACATGTTTCTGAAATTAACAAGTTCACTTCATACATTAAAATGAAATACATGTGCATTGTCTTGAATACAAATGTATACCTGCCATCAGTGTTAATCAGGAGGCAGGGAATACTGAGTCTTTTTTTCTTGTCAACAAATCTTCTGCTCAACGAAATGACCTACTCTAGTCCATTTGTTAATCAGGGCTACAATATGGCATATTGAGGGAATCCCCATTTGGTTGCAGTGAAGCAATTTATCTACTAAATGTACTTGTAATTAATTTTAGAGTAATATATGATGTCTTACCATCTGGTACAGGTAAAGAGCGAGAAAAAGCTAGAGATTTCTGATGTGTTTGTTCTGTATTATCATCTATTTCATGTTGTCTTCGTTTATATGTAGGATCTATTGCAGCAGCTATATTAAATGACTGACTACCTGCATTATTAACTGCATGATTTAAACGACTTCGCTGCACGTGTTCAAAACTAAATAAATTAAATGACAAAAAAAAAAAATTGTAAGTGCTTATAAATTCAAATGTTAGGAAACAATGGGTTGTTTAGCAGAATATAACTTTAAATTTAACTATTTAATTGGGAACAAAATAGAGACCCAATAGAAATTTCCAGTCTCTAAGTTTTACTATAGGTTAAAGTAATTAAACTATACTACAATCAATGCCAATTCTTTAGAAGTCTTTTCATTATTTAGATACAATAGAAAAGTAGTTTTAACCAAGCTCAACTCAATTAAATGGTTAGTCTTTAATTAACACACCGACTGTGGCGTTATTAGGGTACCGTAATCGTCATGTTCACAATAGTCTTCAATCAGTCACTTTCTTACTGTATTCAGTCAAAACCATGTGTTTACCGAGTACACACAGCAGCTATTATAGCATGGGCACATGTTCATATATAGCACAAATAACAATTACACTGATGTCTTAATTTATTAAAATCAAGTTGTTTTTTGGTTCTGCATTGTGGGGTAAAAAAATAAAAGTGTTTCCAACAGCTGGAAGAAGTATTATAACAGAATGTGGGGGTAATAAAAGTTGATGTTGATGTAAGTGGATACAAAATAAAAATATTTTAGATCTAGGATCACCATGTAATAGTCTAATAATATGAATACCATTACATTTAAAATAAAGTTTTTAGGTTTGATATAGTTCTAATGAAATGATCTGTCTTTAAAAGTTATATTTCTGATAAATTATTTAAATCATAGTTTAAATATTTTATTGTGATAAGAATGTATTAAGGATAGCTATATATATTTCTTCCCTTCAATTTTGAAAATTTGATAGAAGTTGATGATAAAAGTTCACCAGTTATAACAAACTATGTACAATATTTAAACATGCGTAGTTACAGATACTATACTGGATTCTACAAGAGGATTATCATTTTTTTGATGAGAATTATGATTTGTGACAACTTCTTACCTTTCTGGAGATTCTTCTTCACTGTGATAACTGCCTGGGGGAGAAGGGGATGGAGGTAAAACAGCTCCACTTTGACCCCGAGCACCAACCCTACTGGGTACTGATTCGGCTAGCCATCGTTCAACTGCTGGATCAGGCAAACTATCGGCTGGCGGTAAGTGTGCGGTATTATGTCTCTGTTCCTGTGGACGAGATGTACTTTTTGACACCCCATTCTGTCCTCTCTGGACAACTTTATGCGAGTAATTTTCTTGTGGTATTCGACCACTAGAGAGCTCTTGAGCACGTGTCAATTCCCTAGCACTAGTGATATTATCATCAGGAATATTATACCATTGTTCCTCATCAGATAAATGTTGAGTTGTGTCATTAAAGGCAGCAGGTGATTTCTGGACAGGTCCTGAATTATTGGATATTGATCTGGTATAACTATCACGCCTATAACGATGTTGATAAGGTGGTTGTTCTGAACCATCAGGTGTACGCAAAGGAGGTTCTGTGGCTTTCCTTGATGGTTCTGTTGATGGAAGTTGTTGATGCTGCTGCAAATGGAATTTATTTTGCAATCAATCTAAGAACATCGGGAAAAATATTAATTCTTGAATGGAAGTGTAGCAATTTTTCCACGAAAAAAAAAAAAGCAGACCATCCATTACTACCTATGTATATCCAAACGAGGCCATGTCATGTTGCCTTGACTCAGTTTTGTAAATGTTTAATAAATAGTAAATATTGTTTTTTTACCAATAATCATCAATAATTATGCTGTCATCCACGTATTTATTCTTGGATGAAACATTATAGAAATTTTAAATAAGAGATTTATCCCCCTTGATTTGATGAATTATCTGTGAAATGTAAAGACGTCAAAGGATATGCAATGAAGAATCTTGGAATTGAACATCTCAGTTGGATCAAATGAAATCCAAAAATAGTGAGAACAAAGGCTAATGGTCTGACCAGAGAAATGCCATACTAACCTGCTGTAACCTCTGCTGTTCTTTTAATTGTTGACGTTTTATTTTCGCTTTTCTTGCTTTTAATTTTTCTTGTTCTTGTATAACTCTGGCTAATTCTTCATCTTGTACTTCTATAGCTTTTAATTTATCTTTATCAACTTCTGCCTTATTTCTCTGTTATATAAGTAAACATACTAATTAAAGAAAATAATCTGACTCAAGAACTATCCCATTTCTACTGTTCATTCCTTTTGTTTGACTTTGTCCATAACAAGAGTATGTTCATTTGCCTCTTAGATAATATCAGCCAAACAAAAGTAGTGTAACAGGGGTTTTTAACTTTTGACATCACAAAAATATTCAACAAGACTCCCCCCCCCCCCCCTCCCCCGCCATGAAAAGAAACCCGTCAAATATTAATATTTAAAGATTTTAAATATGCGGTTTCAATATAAGATAAATCAGTTACAAAAAGTGTAATGATAAATAACTTGTGATGTCATTATTTCCCAGAAAATAAATACAGATTTGCAACCAAAAAACCAAATAAAATGAAATGGGGTTTAACATCCTACTCATCCGACTGGGATAATGAAGACAGACAGCGGAACGTATTTGATTTCAACATAAATTTAACAAATTGTACAACTTTTGTGAAAATAAATCAGGACATGAAAAGGTAGTTGACATTAAATTTCTTACTCTTGATCTATATTTAGTAACTCTTGTATTACCTATTACAATGTATATGTAACTGAATATTTGAAATGGCAAGTAGCAAAATACCTGAATTACATTCATATATAGAACCCTAGAGTATTCAGTCTAAGCTTAAATAATGCCCATTTAAAAATTTGCATAGTAAGATAGTAATAACAGACTTGTAGTTGAAAGTACAACAATACACATTTTTAAAAATAAAATAATCAAGATCGTCTGCTTTGTTGTCATTTAAAGTTTAGAGAAACCAAATAGATATTTCAATCTGCGACATGTTATTTGTGTTTTGGGTGTATAATATTTATCTAAAAATGTAAATATTGATATAAAGTATATATGGTACATATTCATTCAAACATGTTTTTAAGTAGTTGGTTCATCTTATTCGTTCGTTTCTAGAGTTTTACGTCCACTTCCCCCGAGGGTGATATTGTAGACAAACGGTTCATCTTACATGGGAGAAGGGTTTTAAGGAAGTGGTTTACAGATTTATGTTTAATTTTTTATGATTTCTCCAATCTCCTTGTCTTGGGCTCTATCAATGGGAAGAATATGTGTAGAAGAAAAGGTATTGCTTTTTACAACTTCAACCATTGAATTAATCAGCTCTGACTGAATAGGAAGAAAGTTTGTAAGGCTCAAACCAAACCCATTCAATAATTTCACACAAACTAGCATTGCTGTGTACATGAAGTTCACTTAATATAGATAATTAAAATAAGAATGAAGATTTAAGGAATACCTTATGTTCTTGTTCTTGTAATAACCTCGCCAATTCCTAAAATATAAAATTTAGCAAAACATTAAAGATACATTCCCACAAACAAACTGGGTGATTTGATGATATATTTGGACTAAAAACATATTCAAACTAATTAGTCTATCAAAATTTTGCTTCAAATCCTTCTGAAACCATTGTATTCAAGAGGGAATACCCCTGCTATAAGAAATCTATTAAAAAGAGGTCACGTTTGTGTCACGTGACTTGGCTGACCGCTACCTAGCAATGGGTGTGAAGCCGGAGGAGAATTCATTGCATATACAAGACAATGTTGTCTTTAATCGCTGTCCATTTACCATAAATATCAAAGCCTAATTAAATTCTAGGATTATCCACTTGGTATTCACGATGGTATTTTTCTATCAAGGAATCTGAGAGGTCCCAAACTGGGTCAGTAGCCAATCAAAATTAGTGAAGAAACATATTACTTGAAGGGCATAGTAAGATGTACAGAGTTAAAGTGAGATCAGGCCTTCTATTGATGATGGAAAGGTAGTCTCAATCAATCCAGCCCAAACTGTCACTGCATTAGTCTGGTCAAAATAGTTTTGATTGCGTACAGTGTCAAAGATCACACAGTGACTTCTGTATGTCTTATGATAGGCTGAAAGGAATTAAGGACAAAATGCTCTGGTCTTTTCCATGGATTCAGAAATTTCCCACATGTTATTGCATAAACTATGTAAACAACTACAACCAGTTACCATAATAATATAGGTACACAATTGGCAGTATTTAATCCAGATTATTATTCATTGCAGTCAAACTGAAAAATTCTTGCTGGGGCTAATAATACATTAAATTGGTTCTTTTTATCACTAATACAAAAATCATATCAAGTGTGATCAGGGCTGCATTTTGTTTTTTCATAACCCCTTTAAAAATCTGTCAAAAAATCTATGCCATCAATCTTTTTACCTCATCCTGTGTTTCTTGCATATGGCGTCTGATGGGATCATTATCATCACCAGGTGGCAGTGCATAGAAATCACTAAAATCTCCATCATCTTCAATCTGACCAGCAGGTGTCACTCTAAAACAGTAATTATATTACACTGGATGAATATAAAAACATATTATTACACAACCCTTAATATTCTCCAGAATGCTTTAATCTGTGATCAGTATAACACAGTCATTTGTCAGGGCTTGAACTAAATCTAGATTATAGGTTACATCAAAGAATTGGTAGGAATTTTAATGAAAGGTCTACATAAATATACATAGTGGACATAACTCAACCATTACTCAACTGTAAAATAGCTAGACCTATTTGATTTGGGCTATAACCGACTGTCAAAATTTAAACTAATATCAGTAAACAAACTGATTGCCCCATCACAGATCAACCTGATTATTGTGACCTATAAATCAAAGTAGTTTAGATCCTTTACATTGTTAACTAGCCATGTACAAGTAACGATTTCATCCTATACTATAATACACAAACATTTGTATTTTGGTACTGTATGCTGTACTGTAACTGATTCAAATAATTAGATATGAGATAAATACAGTTATTTTGATCTACATTTTCAATAATAAAAAAAAACAACTAAAAAACAACTTTTATGTAATGTGTTTACAATAAATCATAACTGAAGACTATGTTTACAAATTTGTGAATAACCAAGGCTTTTAATTTTAACAAGTTAAAAGCAGATGAAATGTTTGTTCCAATAACATGACAGTCACTTCCATTAACATCTATGGAAATACTTAATGAAAATCATGTTCTGCATATGTGATTCTCCATATTTATCCAGTTGAGTTAAAAATTAAAAATAAAATAAATTGGAACAAAATGAACAGAGTTTATCATTAGGACTTCATTATAACACCGATTTTGGGGGACTACCTCATTATACAACAGATGTCACCATAACACTGCCGTGAGTCATAAAGTAACCCCGTATTATTGGACTTGACTTATCTTATAGCAAACCTGAATAAGTTTAGTATTGACACCTGACTTCAGAAAACAGCAATATAAGTGCAGCATTAAAACCCAAATTATAGAAAACAGCTCTATACATGTAAGTGTAGCAATAGCAAAACAGGTAAAGTATGTAGAATTAATATAATCATCTATTTTCTAAGATCCTATCATATGTAAACCAATAAAAAGGCCTACAATAAAAAGACCTGGGACAACTACATCGCACTCTTCAAAATACAAATGTGATGTCATCCTTTGATGTTGGCCGAAATAATGGTAGGGACAATGTGCCAAGCGTACATTATTTATACTAGATGAAATTTGGGATCTGTGAGACATATTTCATTGCAAAACACATACAAGTGTCTGTATTTAAGCTGTTTAATGTCTTGAGCTTAAGACATTGCTTAAGTATTATTTAATGTCGACCATTCAACCACACATAAATATTGAAAGAGCAATCATTATTCTAGTTTAATATTTCTATTTTTCATTCATATCACATAAAATCTTTCAATTATTTAATGAATTCCTGTATTGCATTAGTTTAGATACCAGATACACCAAGTGGAAATACATGTAGTTATCAGACTAGTAAGAAATAGTTATCATTAGTCAACTGAAACAAGAATATATGTTAAAGTTAAAGAATTTATAGAAGACAATAAGTATTAGATAAATACAGAAAACAACATAACATACATCAACAGCTCACTGTAATTATAAAATACATATCTAAATCTTTTCTCCTTGAAATAATTTGCTCAAATTCAAAGTACTTTAAAACAGTTCCTTTTAAAGGGGAAGTCCCAAAGAAGGGGGTCTTCTAAATCAACGCCACAATTCATTATTAATTTCATTCTTCAGTTTTATGAATGACCTGATAATAATAATGATTACTTTGTTTTTTAAGTATTTACGGACAAGGTACATAACTATATGAACTTAGGGGACTTATGGCCAACTCAGCACAGAAACTGAATTTTTGTATTTCTTCAATAAAGTATCATAGAGCTTCTGGTAGCTGGATATATCCGTGATGACACATTTTGAATTCATTCATCTAACTATAATAAGACCTATTATATCTTTGCGAGTTTCATATTTATTAATTTTTTTAAAGATTAAGATTTCATTTTGTGGGAAAGAAATAGTTTACAAATTGAAGAAAGTGAAATAAGTATAACTGTTTATCAACAAAGTTGACATAATACAATGAGGACAGTCAACTGTCTTATTATCTATATCATTTGTAATTTTACATTATTTATTTACATCATTTAATTTTTGTACTGCCACAATAAATCCATGTTTTAACTATTCCAAACAATTACAATATATTACATGTACTAAATGACTGAATAAATAAAATAAACTTATTACTGATAGATATACTAGTATTAGAATGTATTATGATCATTTTATAATGTTTTATAGAAATAGGACAATACATGTATAGAATAATTTTCCTGTTTCCTTCCTTGTTTATACACAAGCAATGAATCATCGTAAAAACATTTCAGTGCTACATTCTTAATTGTGAAAGACAATAATTAACAATTACAGCAATGTGGGTGCTGTACCAGCTAAATTTTATCTTTAATATTCTTGTTAAATTATCTTAAAGACAGATAAGCAGTGTGATGCTCAATCTGAACTTAACAATTAAAATATTGTTTTGTTTTTAAAGCCAAAAATGTGATTTTTTCAACACAAAAATTATGCCTTATTTTGCAATACATAACTTGCCTAATGTTATTAGAATATATCACTGATTGATTTAAACATATTTTATTATTTTAAGTCAACTGATCAGACAAAAGTTACTAAAACTTAAAAGGGAGTCCTCTCCAATACAATGCAACTGCTGTTTAGTTAATGTATATCCATGTAAGATACTAATAAACAATAAATTAACAAAACAAATATGTTTAAACAAAATCAGTGTATTTAAAATATGAACCAGGGAGTATACCTCAGGATTACATATATACCATACAACAGCGAAATATACGAAAGTGTGTAAGGTTCATTTGATGATGTTCAAATATTAAACCAATTTCTTTTTAAAAATTTTGGTGGGCTGTAGCATGTTTTCCCAATCTAGAAACTACATCATGATTTAAATTGCTCTGTGTTTTCCATGTATTTCTGTGGTGGCGAGTGGGGCACAGTAAGCCAACTTTTTAATTTTTAACTGTTTTTGGAAAATTCAATTGTGACATCATTGGGGAATTCCCCTTTATTGCCCCCATTTGTCCTCATAAATTCAATAAATTCTTGAAAGCTGATTAAAATTTATCACGCATTAACCGTTTTTCTGATGCAAAAGTAAATTTTTAGTGGACCGGATAAACTGCTTGGATACTCCAGATTTTGTCAGAACCTACGAACTTTAAATTTCAGGTGAAGGAGATAGTAATTGACTCTCATCAGAAATATTTTGTTTCATAATACTGTCACTTGTCTCCCTGCCATTTTTGAGTTTCTGCCGTTGTTGCTGATGGGGCACATTGGGTCACATTTCAAAGGGGCAATGCACTGAGCACATTGGGTCAAAAAAATTTCTGTTTTGCAATGATCTACACAGAAATGGTTTCAATTTATTAACTCCTTAACAGCACTGTTAAACTGAACATATGACTGACTTCAACTGAGTACATAGTCTGATTCTCTGTAGTATTTCGCTTCTCGTCAATTCACTAAAAAAAAAAAAAGAAATCATACCCACTGTGCCCCACTCTCCCCTACTTGCTTAACTAAATACTTATTCTGAATATATCACTGAATTTGTATTTATTTTTATAAACTGGAGTTAAATGAGTTTCTGGGTAATATGTATGACATTTGGGTTGAAATAGTATGAGTTTTATTTCAAGGAGTATATGTTAGTAAGGTGTTAGAAACTAACTACCTTTGTGTATACCTAGTATGACCATTAGCTGTATCTTCTAAACTTAATCTGTCTACACTACCATTTAATCTGTCTGTACCTAGAAAGAAAAATACATTACACATTATATTATCATTGTCCGCTGAAATATCTGGTAATTATCTTCAGGTTTGATAATCTGTTAAAACAGAAAGGATTACTTTAACCTGATAAGACATGAATTGTAAGATATAAATAACGTAATAAAATACTTTCAAATTAAGATAGACTATTTACTTATGACTAGATGGAAAAGTTTTAAAAAATGTTTCAGTGTTAAAGCCAACAGATAATTTAAATATTACAAGGAATCTTCAACTAAAAAAACAAATTCTTTAAACTCTGGTCATTCTCCAGCATATATTTCTGGCAAACAGAAATAAAATTGAGATTGTATAGTATTATCTTTATATACTTCTGTTTTTTTCAGTACGAAACTGACCTTGATCTTCAACATCATGACTTTGAGTCATTCTGGCTTGTTCAGACTGCTCTGCTAATTCCTTTTCTAATCGTTCCCTTTTCTTTTTTAATTCTTTTTCTTTCTTTTTCTCAAGGTATCTCTCATATTTCTTCTTTTCTTTTTCTTGCATTTGTTTGGCAATGGCCTGCAAAAACCACACCAAAGTATAAAATTGTAGAAGATATCTACAAACAATTCACTTTGTTTTAAAAATAATGTGCCTTATTTGACAGTAAAATTGTCTCCTATGACTTCAAAATTCATATATACTCTTCAAAAAAAGTAGGGGATATTGAAATGCAAATACCTATCCAGGTTGTAATATGATAAATAGTCATGGACACTTGACATGCTTTGAGAGTATGTTCACAGATGAAGAACTTATCGCCCCAACAGAACCACTGAGTTGCACGTGCGACACGCAATAGCACCATACGCGTGGGAGGGGTTCATTGTCAATTTTGACACCTTAAGGAAGGGTTGATGAAAACTGCCGTTTGTTGGTTTATCCTATCCATGTTTGCTTTCTTATCGGTTCTTGCATAAGATTTACTGTTTAGCGTATCTTTGCTTTAGTGTGTTACGTTTAATTTGATTGGGAGACATGTTCGTCGACTTCAACGTCAACCAACAACACTGCAAGAATTGGCCGTGGCACTGCTAGAGGAGTGGGTCAGATTGCCCCAAATCGTGATTGGACGGTTGATTAGGAGCATGCCACGACGAATTGCTGAATGTCTGAGGGTTGGTGGAGCAATTACTCATTATTAAGACAAAAATCAAAAACGTCCATTTTCACTTTTGATAGTGTATCTCTTTGCAAGTGAAATGGAGCCGTGAGATTAGTCGCCCATATGAACTGTTTATGTTCACGTGTAGGCAATTGGCCTGTTATTAACATACACTGGTTACCTCTAATAAAAACAGCAGTGCATTTCCGCAGTTTTGTATTGTTTCTGAATATCCCCTACTTTTATTTGAAGAGTATATATAATCAAAAGCTTAATCATGCCTTTTTACATAAATTACAAAATTATACTATATTGTATTTTAATGACTGCTAGATGAAACCCATGCATTATAAATATCAGCGTATTTCAGTGATATAGTTTTACCTCATCATCTTGTTCAATTGAATTTTTTCGCCATATTTGTTCTTTCTCCTTCTCTGCAACTCTCTTGGCTATTTCAGCATCCCTTTCAGCCCTTGTAAAAACAGTCAAACTTAAAGTTGCAAGTACATACAGTATGCAAATGAAATTATTCTAGATTGTTATTTCAATATGCATTGACATCGATTTTGTTGAGCACGAGTATTATTGAAACTATGGCTTGACCTATTTGATTTAGTTTCTAAATAATTATTGTCAAATAACAATGTGTCCTTTACTCAAATAAAGTCAACACTGAGATGTAATCAACTATTATTGTACAAATCAACTACTGTTTTATCTTTCAAAACAAAATACATGTATATAGAAGATCAACTTTATTCATAAATAAATCAAGGAGGTTTAGTACCCTTAACTTACGTGAGTTTAGTTCAAGAACCTTCTTTTATGCAAAAAAGAAGGTTGTTGGGTTTATTAGTCATTCACATGGACAAAAAACTGATGTCCATCTGTGTATATAAAACAACCCTTGACAGTTGGCATTTGATATGAAAAAGGTAGAAATATGGTTATCTGGGCAGAATCTCCCCCCTTCCCCCACCATCATTGCACATGTTACATAGACATAACTGAACTGTAGGTTAGTTTGAGTATTGTGTTGACATGCTATTAAACACCATTCCTTTTCATCTAAAAATATTTCAAACACTTACAGTGCATTTAATTCCTGTAATTGTCTTAATCTTTCTTCTTGTAATCTTTTTTCCTCTTCTGATTGAACTAACTTTGCAACTGGAATGTCACTACGTACCGTACGTCTCTGATTCCTGTTAAAACCATAATGTCGATTATCTGTAAAATATTTGACATAAAAACTTTACTGAAAAATTATTCAATAGAAATGCATGCATATGTATTCTTCACCAATAAGAACTCCTGTAATATTGCAAATCTTCTAAAGAAAGTTAAATGAATTCAATTGTCAATCGATTCGTTAATAGCATATGACCTAGTTCCAAGCAATGGGGACATCCATAAAAATATTAAGAATATGTTATCAATATCATGAAGCATTCACATATCGTCGGTGGGGAGTCAAAAGGTCGTATCTGGCATATTTTGCGAAATTTACTTTTTTGCTTCTTCAGAATGAGAATTTTCGTGTGCATCTTTTCATCTGGTAGTCGTATTTCTAAGCCAATAAAAAGAGGTTTTATCGACATTGTTTCAAAATGTCGTATATGGGGTGTTCCCCAAAAAAATCTTAAAAATTATTAAGAGTGAAAAGGTCGTATTTTCTTGAAAAAATCTACTTTGTGTCTAACCAAAGCATTACAATCAAACGAAATATAGCCAGTATTATTTTATGGTTAAATACGTATTATTGAAATTATTGTTGAGGTTCTACTGCGTGAAATCTATGAAATTGAAGCAGTTAAAGCTGAATATTTTCCCGAGATACGTCTTTGCTGTATAAAATTGCAAATAAGTAGCTTTCACTCCTTATTTCAGCACTAGATGTTGGGCTTGATATGTGCGGATAGTTACATACTGTTTAAATGGCTACACATATATTTTGTAAATAAATATTTGAGAAAAGCTTCAGAAATACGTCATTTTACATACGACATTTTGACGTGACGGTTTTATCAGACATTTTGATTCTTAACCTCTGGGCAATTTCGCAAAATCGAAATACGACCTTTTGACTCCCCACCGACGATATATAGTTAGAATCTAAATGCAAGACAGGTATACATGTACTTGAATTCAATGTCGAAGGAACATCCATGGCTATTCTAATAGTCCATCATAAAATAAACATAATCAATACTTTCAAGTTTATTGTCAAAATTTATCATGACTAATTCCAAGTTTCTGTTGCCTTCACATATTTCAGCTGGAATTTCTTACGCCCAAAATTTCCGTCACATTTTAATAGTGTGAAAATCATTATCTACATGTAGATAGTACAATGATGATAGATGAAGAAAGGTAATTAAATGTTTTGTGTGTTAAAACTTACTTTCTTCATTCTGTAGACAATGTGCCATAGCACCATCTTCATGAACCGACCATTCTTTACGTACTGTAAATAAAATAATAAAAAATTATGGTTTCTAGGAAATTGACTGATTGGAGGCACGTTGACTAAATGGAGACCAAACTTCGACCACAGACTTCAAACTTCCAAATTTCAATGCTGTAACTGTTGAGCCTAAAAGTTTCCTCTTAAACAATGCTTGAGCCTTGCCCTTTTCAGGACAGCACCTGTAGTGGAATACTAATACACTAGAAATCAATTGAAATCTTTTATGATGCTTCTTTGGATTTTCTGGATTGATTGAGCCCTGCCAGAAATTGACTTGATCTTTAAAGTTTAAACAAATCTCCATTATCTTGTCTGTTTACTTCTTTCTATGAACACATATATACAGGCACATGTCTGTTACTGGTACATTGCTCAGAATCTGTTTTTTTTTTTTTTTAAAAACATAAATTTTGTAAGACTAGATGAAAATCTAAAGATATACTTATGTATTGTGTCATGAATATGTAGTGTTGGTTAATGTAATACCATGCACAGTCATCATTGATACAATTGACTGATGATTTTGTTGCAGAAAACCAAGGATGAATACAATACTGTAAAATACTCTTCACACAAAATAACTAGATTACAATAATTGTACAAGTGTTTCAAAATTACTCACATTAAAAAAACTGGCATCAACCCTAAATTAGAGGTAAACAAAATTAGTTACGAAAATCTTACTCATGTGCCAACCTGTCAACCATCAATCCAACTAAATATTTCTTTGATCCTAGCAAAAAGATTTGCCTAGAAATAGATAGTATTAACCATGGGAGAGCAAACGCAGTAAAGCTTATGTCCACTTTGGTTGAGTTATTCAGGGTGGACTGTGTTAATATTGACAAGTATGTTCTACCTTTCTATAAACATATTTTACATTGATTGGCAACAGACTTAACTACTGGCCATTTTATATCATGAGAACCAATGTACATATGTCAGATCTTTTCCAGAGCAACCAGTAAATTTTTTCAACCCCTGGAAGCAATTCTACTTGATGGGCTCTGATCTCATTTTTAGGCATTTAGGCATAGAATTGGCAATATTTAATGTCTCCTGTCTCAATTCCAAATCTTGTTAATTACTTGCACATTTATCTTTTTATAAAGCAACTAGCAATCAAATTGTTTTATCACTCTGCTTAAGCTAAGCAGAAAATGTTCATTATATATTTTATAATCAGACAAGATACTGATGTAATGAAATTACACACCAACCAAGTTTCATCACTTGGAAAATGAATTGAAATGAAATGGGGTGTAACATCCTACACCTACTCAATTACAAGCAGGATTATTGTGTTCCAAACTCTTCCCCAATCAAATTGCTTATCTCGGCTTTGCCCCTAGATATTTTTACGATTTAATTTGAACTGTTTTCACCATTATCTGAAATGAGCCTACAAAGTCCTACTTTTGTGTACCAAATGGGATAATTACTGATAGTGAAGTCCGAGAACATTGTCTAAATACGTGTTAAGATGAAGAATCTCTAACATGTACAATCACAATGACCTGAAGAAGATGGACTTATTCTGTGTGTAAAAGGAGACAGATTTATTGGCAAGATGACAATAACTATATTTACTTTTGACCGGAATGAAAAAATGTTTCATGTTGACATTAAATGTAAGAGGAGAAAAAAAGAGTAAATAATCTTATTGAACACAAAGTGTGGGCCATTGTTTTATGTTTGATTATTGTCCTACTAATTATAAAATTAAGACATCCTCACAAATATCATGGATCTATATACATGTATGATTGAGAATAGAAAATTCTTGGCCAATTTACAATAGATTAGAAATAAAAGTTTAGTAATGATAAAGTCAGCTCTAGCCATGAAAGAAGATCAAAGAAACAATGAAATATATGTAACAGAAACTAGGTCATTTAGGGACTAAAATTTATCAATACATGTGTATTTCAATAATCAGCTTGCAATGATGGTTCTTTTCTAGGAATAGAAGGAAACTATAGAGCCAAGAGAAACCTACAAGTTTAGGAAGGTAACCCAAGTTTTTAACACATACAAACCTGTGATTGAAACCACAACATTTGACTCAATGATAGACTGTGTCATCTAATATAAATGTGAACACATTTCATCACATGTCTACCCACTCCCTATATAAACCATTCACTTGTCTCATGAGTCATACATGTGAAAAGACAAAAGTCAATGACTACTGGTACATAACTGTACACTCTGACATAGGGGGTGGTTCTGCTCACCTATTCCATTTCAAAATAAAATCTAAAATTTGTTCATAAACATCCAATTCCATTTCAGGCTCAAGATCAAATACAGTGTACATGTAGCAAATATTTTTTCAAATTAATTTCAAAGCAACTGCTGGAAAGAAATCCCCAGATAAAATTACATTTCTTCAAGTTCTACATGTACATATACTTTCATTACAGTTTCTCAAGCAATTGCTTGAGGCCTGAAGACAGTAATAGACCCCACTCTCCTTAAATTGCTGCCTGTAATCATGACTTTGGACTATATATGTTCATGTCCTAATGAAGAAACATGAAAACCTACTTATATATAATCAATATATAATCCATCTTCTTTATTGATCAATATTTGACCTAACTTCCCAATTCCCTTGATTGTCGACATTTAATCAACCACAAAGAATAAATTAATAATGATGGGAGTATAACCACAGACATCAGAAAGCTACACTTGATAGTGCAGTAATTAAATTAAACTTTAATAATTTAAGGAAAGATTTCACAACTCAAGGCATGTGCTCAAGATCATGGAAGACAGAAAAACAAGAGCATTGCTATCGTTGCAATATATGTCCACATTCCTGCTTTGATTGATAAGGTACTTTTTAAAATGAAGGGCATGAAATATGAAATGGCTGCAACGACTGTACATGTAAGGCTAGGCGTTGGGGTTTGTTTTGCCTAATTTACAGACTAAATATTAACAAAAAAGTAGGTGTGACACCGTCCCAGAGGTTTGGGGAATGCACCAAAATAAATAGTTGCTGTCTTTGTGATATAAGGAATAAATATGCCAAGTTCGAAGATGATCCATTCAGAATTGCTGCCTGTAGACGATAAACACAAAAATTGGGCGTGGCTCTGCTCCTGGGGGTTGGATATGGAACAATATATCTATACGCAAATCGGTACAACCCTGTTATTGAAATGATTGATATGCTGAATTTGAACAAAGTCTGTTAATAATTGCAACCTGTCGAGTATTTACAGACAAAAATATGGGTGTGGTTAGTGGTAGGACACACCTGGGGGTTGGGACATGCACCAAAACAAATAGTTGCCACCTTATGGTATAAGGAATAGGTTCCAAGATGATCAATTCAGAATTGCAGCCTGTCGACGTTTAACACAAAAATTGGGCATGGCTTTGCCCCCATGGGGGTTGGACTGTTGGACATGGACCAATATAAATGGTAGAACCCTATGATGGATCATGCTGAATTGGATCCAAATCTGTCAATAATTGCAACCTGTAGATTATTTAGTAATATTTACAGAAAAAATATTAACAAAAAGTGGGCGTGGAACCGCCGGGGGGAGGGGTAATCATGCATCAAAATCAATAGTTGCCATCCTTAGGGTATAATAAGTATACCAAGTTCCAAGATAATCCATTCAGAAGTGTGGCCTTCTGACGCTAAACACAAGATTTGGGCGTGGCTCTGCCCCTGGGGTCTGGACATTGACCAAAAGCAATAGTTGCCCCACTTCGGCTATAAGGAATAAATATGCCAAGTTTCAAGATCATCCATTCAGAATTGTGGCCAGTATACGATAAACACAAAAATTGGGTGTGGCTCAGCCCCTGGGAGTCAGGGCATGCACCAAAACCAATAGTTGTCGTCCTTAGGCTATAAGGAATACGTATACAAAGTTCCAAGATGATCTATTAAAAATCTATAGGGGTAATCCTTAGTATATAAGAAATAAGTATGCAAAGTATCAAGATGATCCGTTAAGAAATACAAAATACAAAAAGATGACATGGCTCTGCCCCCGGAGGTTGGAAAACACACCAAAAACAATAGGAATTGTCCCCTTAGGGTTTCAAGACAATCCATTAAGAATTGCACCCTGTAGGCTGCCCACAGACACATACACAGGGACATTCGCATTATTAATGTGGACATATAATTAAACAGAATGAAGATGCCAAAAACTTGATATGGACCCTTAAGACGCTGAGCTCATGAGTCCAATGGAAGGTCTCCCTAGTTCACAAAATGGACCCCAAGTTAGTGAAAATGATCCCATAATCTAAGAAAAGGAAGCCCTGATTTCTGTGTAAAGTAGTAAAGGTCACAAGCCCACCTGCACATCAGTCATTAGTATTGTTATGCAAAGGTAAAATATATTCACAGAATGTGAACAGAATGTATCGACTGCATGTGCAGCATACTGAATTTGGTATTTGAAATTCTCTTAACGGTAGCTATGGTAGATACATGTTCTATATTCCCCTGAATAACAGTGCATGCAGGTTTCAGGTGAATCCATTTCAAAAATTTGTTTTTAATGACAGTTTGCTTTATCATGGAAAAACCAGTATCCGATCAGAATCCTAGATATGGATCGAAAAGACCCTTTCTGCACAAAAATGCTTATAAACCTGTAACAGTGATCAATTCATAAAAGCCATTCCATGCCTTCTATATTTTGGTATGAATCTAGTTACTCTGTAGTACATGCACACGTAAGTCTTGCTACCCTGGATTTTCTATATTCAAATAAAAGTAAACAAAAGGATCTAAAATGCTATATCATTACAGGGAGCTGGTGTTGACAGAAAACACAACTTAACAAATATTGTCCAATACACTCATTCTTGGCAATGAACCCTTGCATATAAGTACAACATTTTAACTGGTGTTTATCAGTAACTATAAACAGGATTTAGTGGCTTAGTGCATGTATTTACATTGAATATTATTTTATGGATTCCTATACATGCCTAATAAACTACAGAATGGC